ATACTGTCATCAATGTACTGAGCATGTGCAGGAATGCAGGAACTGAAATTACACTCCTTTCTCGTTTGTTTCGGATGAGCCATGTGATCTGCCCATATGAGGAAATCCAAATCCTGTCCACCGATTGGTTAAGGGTATGTGCGGGTGGAGCTATTAATGGGAGGAGTTATAGTTCTATAAAAAGCATGTGTTCAGCCCTCAGACCTGTTTTGGAACGTTAGTTCATCTGAGGCCCGATCGGTATGTTCATAAAGACCTCTTACTTCCTGAAAACCTGCATCCATCTCTCTGTGTCTGGCTTCTGCAAGTTTACTCGGTTGCAAAACCACTAACACGTGAAGTGAATAACATTGATTATATCTTTACAATGGCATCCGTCAATGCATATATTAGGCAGCAAGTAAATAGTCCGTTCTTAAATGGGTCAAATCATCTCCAAAACAGGATGTCTTGTGTATGCAGTTGTTTGTACCTACCAAAAGTGGTGCAAGGAAGGCAGGGCCGGACTGGGGAAAAAATTAGGCCCGGGCATTTTTCAATCAGAGCGGCCCCCTAAGAAGGGGGCGGGGCCAGAAAGTGTGTGTTTTGTCATCACTAATGACAACATGCCCCCTCTCAAAGTGAGCATGTTGGTTCAATGCGCAGAGCCCTGCTAAAGAGCTCTGGCACTAGAAAAAGGCCCTGAATTTATTCTGTGCAGCGCAAGCAAATTTGATAACATGCTTGCGCTGTGTTTGCTTTTAAATTGTCTCTGGTGTCTCCACAAGTGGGATACCAGAGGACAAAAGGGCCAGGAAAGTGCATGGTGCATATGTTTGGAGCCTGCTTGTGGGATTACGTGTGTGTATTGTGGTATTGTATAAATAGGTCAATTTAATTTGTGTTTGTGGTGTAATATGTGTGGCTAGGGGCTGTAGAGAGTGTGGGATGCAGCGAGAGAGTGCATACGGGCTATAGTGTATGTGTATAGGTGACGTAGTGTAGGGGTTACAGAGAGGGTGTGTTTAGAGAATGTTGTATGTGTTTGCTGACAAGGAATGTAGTGTGTGTGTGTGTAGGAGATCTACTGTGTAAAGGACCCAGTGTGTGTGTGTGTGTGTGTGTGTGTGTAGAGGATTAAGAGTGCATATAGGGTAAGGGATCTAGTGTTATCTGGAGCGTAATGTGTGTAGTGGTGCAGTGTGAGGGGTGCTGTAGTGTGTGTGTGTGTGTGTGTGTCTGTATGTATATATATATATATATATATATTTTGACTTATTGTATGTGTGAGGGGCGCAGTGTGTGTATGTAAGAGGGGTGCTGTGTGTGAGGGTGTTTTTATCTGCTGTCACATTTTAGGTTTCTAATTTTCTTTGTCTGTTAACTCACTGAGGGTTATTTTATATATATATATATATATATATATATATATGTGTGTGCTGTATATGTGTGGGAGTGTGCTGTGTGTCTGAGTGAGGGTGCAGTGTGTGTCTGGGGGTGCAGTGTGAGTGAGGGTGCAGTGTGTGTCTGGGGGTGCAGTGTGAGTGAGGGTGCTGTGTGTGTCTGGGGGTGCAGTGTGAGTTTGGGTGCTGTGTCTGGGGGTGCTGTGTGTGTCTGGGGGTGCTGTGTGTGTGTCGGGGTGCGCTGTGTGTGTTTGGGGGTGCTGTGTGTGTCTGGGTGCGCTGTGTGTCTCTGGGGGCGCTGTGTGTCTCTGGGGGCGCTGTGTGTGTGTGAGTGTGAATGTATTTTTTATTTAAATTTAAATATTTATTTTATTAATAAAAAAAAAATATATATATATATATATATCCCCCCCCCAGGGGTGCTGTGTGTGTCTGGGGGTGCTGTGTGTGTCTGTCTGGGTGCTGTGTGTGTCTGGGTGCACTGTGTGTGTCTGGGTGGGCTGTGTGTGTCTGGGGGTGCTGTGTGTGTCTGGGTGGGCTGTGTGTGTCTGGGTGCTGTGTCTGGGTGCTGTGTGTGTCTGGGGTGCCGTGTGCGTCCTGGGGGTGCTGGGGTGCGTGTCTGGGTGCTGTGTGTGTGTCTGGGTGCTGTGTGTGTGTCTGGGGGTGCTGTGTGTGTCTGGGGGTGCTGTGTGTGTCTGGGTGCTGTGTGTCTGGGGTGCTGTGTGTGTCTGGGGTGCCGTGTGTGTCTGGGTGCTGTGTGTGTCTGGGGTATGTGTGTGCGTCTGGGGGTGCTGTGTGCGTCCGGGGGGTGCTGTGTGTGTCTGGGGTGCTGTGTGTGTCTGGGTGCTGTGTCTGGGTGCTGCGTGTATAGGGTGCTGTGTGTGTCTGGGGTGCTGTGTGTGTGAGGAGTGTGAATGTATTTTTATTTAAATTTAAATATTTATTTTATTAATAAAAATATAGAGACGTCCTTCTTACCTTATCCTGAGGTATAGAAGAGATCCGCCGCTGTAAAGCCTTGAGGTGTACTACGCTACCCTGGTGGTCTAGGTGAGGATAAACCCAAATCCCCGCAGGTTGAGTCTTCACTGGATCGGTGCTGTCGCGGCAACGCTCAGAATCCCGCGAGAGGACCCGGCGGAGCTGCTGGTTAGAGCTCCGCCGGTCCTCTCTCCTCCCTGCCTCCCTCCCTCATCCAGCCGGCGGCCGCATCTCCCTGTCTGTGGGCTGGTGAGGGAGATCTTTGATCTCCCCACCGGCCCATGGATTCACATAGCAGGGCCGGCGCTCGGGTAGCGCTGACCCTGCAGGGGCCGGCCGGGGAGATCCTGTGATCTCCCTGCCGGCCTCGGCCCCACGGCCATCGCGGCCCACCGGGCATTTGCCCGGTATGCCCGATGGCCAGTCCGGGCCTGAAGGAAGGACTGAGAAACCGTTGTCAGAGTCATGGATGCCCAAGGTTCATTCTTGCACATGGGGAGTAAAGGCTAGCCCATCTGGTCTGATCACACAGAGCTGAAAAAATGTGTTGCTGCTTATAATAAAAAGGTGTCAGTACACACTGTGCATCGCAGTTTGCTGCGTATGGAGCTGCGTAGCCACAGACTGGTCAGAGTGCCCATGATGACCCTTGTCCACCTCTAAAAACACCTTCAATGGGGACATGAGCGTCAGAAATGGACCATTGAGGAATGGAAGAAGGTTGCCTGGTTTGATGAATCAAGTTTTCATTTAGATCAGGTGGATTGCTGGCTGCGTGTGCGTCATTTACCTGGGGGAGAGATGGTAGCATAATGCACTATGGGAAGAATGCAGGCCGGCAGAGGCTGTGTTCTGCTGGGAAACCTTGGGTCCAGGCACTCATGTGGATGTTATTTTGACACGTACAATCTACCTAGAGATTGTTGCAGACCACGTACAAGGACCAAGGGTCTGCTGCTAATGTTTTTGTGGCAGTTACCACAGGACACGTTTAGAGATCTTGTGGAACCCATCCCTTGAAGCATTAGAGCTGTTTTGGCAGCACGAGGGGGACCTACATGACATTAGGACGGTAGTTTTAATGCTGTGGCTGATCAGTGTATGTGCAGTATTTCTGCTTGAAACACAGCACATACCGAGTTATCTGCATCCTCGGCGGTGACGTATTTGCCCACGAGACAAACAAGGCATTTGCCTTGGGTGGCACTTTCAAGGGGGCAGCAAAAAACACCGCCCCCAAATGCCCAGGCAAATGTCTTGCTATCCTGGTGGCAGGCGGGTAGCTGAGGTCCAGGCTGCATCATATTCTGGCTCCCAGCATCACTCTGGGGCGTGCAAGGGGGCTGAGCAGGGAGAGCTCACAAATCAGCACTCCCTCGCCACCCGCTTGCCCAAACAGCCCAGCCAGCAGCCCTGGACCCCAGGTAAAAAATCCACCCAGCACTCCCAAAAGTAGGGAGGCTGGGTGGATTTCAATAAAAATAAATAATCTGTGAGTGTTGGGGGATGAAAATGTGCATTGCATGTGGCTGTTTACTGTAGACTGGTTGGTTCATTATTTTGAAAAGCATAGCGTCACTATATACAGCATAACAATGTCCTATGGCAGAGATGTGTTTGCAAACATTGTGTGTGTACTAATGTATGTAACATACGCAATAGATAGGTCTTACTGGTGTGGACATCCTCATGGTTGAATGGCAAAAAGTTTGGAGTCTCATAACCATTATTTATTTGTGGTTTGTGTTGGATGTAAGTAATGTATGTGCTGACTGTGTGTTAATGTGGTGTGTGTACAGTGTGGACGTGGTGTGTGCTGGCTGTGTGTGGAGTGTGCATGTGGTTTGTACTGGCTGGAAGCAGGATTTTTTTTCCTGGGGCAGTGCTGCACAGTAGGCAGCACTGCTGTTCAGCATCTCCACGCACTGCATAGGGATGCTGAATCTTCCTCATAGAGATGTATTGATTCAATGCATCTCTACGAGGAGGTGCTGATTGGCCAATATGGTGTTTGGCCCCGTCCCCTTGCAGATTTTATCCAATCCAATGCTTTCCATATGGGAAAGTATTGGATTGGTTAAAAATCGTCAGTTTTGATGATGTCACCAAGGGGGCGGTGCCAGCGCCGGCAGATCCGCCCGGCGCTGAAAATGAGGTGAGTTTTAATTCCTATTAAGGGGGGGATCAAGCCACCTTAATGGTGGGTTTAGCACTATAGTGTCAGGAATAGATGTTTGTATTCCTGCCCCTATAGTGTTCCTTTAAATAAAGACATATCAAATGTTGCCAGGGCCAGATTTCCCATTAGGCAGAGTAGGCACTGGCTTTCTGCACTTTATATATCACCCAAATGTCCCTATTTAGGGCTTAAATCCATGTATCCCTCTTTTCTCTCCTAATGTCCGTCTTTTCTAGGAGCTCCATATTGTTGGTGTGTCTGAGGGTATAGCAGAGCTCCACAGCAATAATACTCGCAGTAATGTGTCTTTAACCCCTTCCCGACCGTGGACGGAAATTTTCCGTCAACCTTGTCCTTCAGTTAAGGACCGTTGACGGAAAATTTCCGTCATTTTCTTAAGTTAACCCCAGATCGCCGCGATCGCGGCAATCGCGGCAATCGCGGGGTTAACGGTGCTCCGGTCTGCCTCTGCATTAGAGGCAGACCGGGAGCACCCGATCGGGCTGCCCCAGCACCGGTGCTCGCCCTGACAGCATGTCAGAGCGAGCACATGTGCTCCACATACTCACCTTCCGCCTCCCTGCACTTCCGGGTTCTGTGTGAAGTGCAGGGAGACGGATCAGTGCTGATCTGCTTCCCTGTGTAAAAAAAATAAAAATTAAAGTTAAATCCCACCCCCCCTGCCCCTGTTTTAATAAAATTAACCCCTTCCCTGCCAATTGATCACTGACTACAGTGATCAATTGGCAGGGTATACATTTTAATGTCATCTGATTTTTTTTTTTTAACCCCTGAGGGTTAATTATTTTTTTTTTAACCTTCAGGGGTTAAATTTATTTTATTAATTAATTTAAATATTAAAAAATTATATATTTAGCTAGCTGGGATGGGTGGAAGTTAGTGGGGAATTGGGGAATTTTTTGTTAGGCTAACTAGGGGTTAACGTTAAAAAAGTTTTAAAATAAGCTTTAAAAAGGTAAAAAAAAATTTTTTTTTAAATGTTTTAGTAACGTTTAAGTAAAAAAAAAAAAAATACCACCCCTTTACCCAGTCTAAATAAAAATTAACCCCTTCCCTGCCAGCTGATCACTGCCTACAGTGATCAAAATACAGATCACAGTATTATACTGTGATCTAATTTTTTTAAGCCCTGAGGATTAACTTTTATTTTTATTTTTTTAACCCTCAGGGGTTCCATTTATTTAATTAATTAATTTAAATATTTTATAATTAAATATTTTGCTAGCTGGGGTGGGTGGGAGTTATGGGAAAATGGGGAATTTACGGTTAGTGCTGCTTACTGCTAGTTAGGGGTTAACGGTAAAAGAAAAGTTTAGAAAAAAATTAAAAGTGTAAAAAAAGTTAAGATAGTGTAAAACATTTAATAAGTAAAAAAAAAAAGTTTAAAAATGGGTTTTACAAAGTAAAAAAAGTTTTACAAAGTAAAAAAATACATTTAAAAATGCTCATTACCACTACACTTGGTACAAGCTAGCGGAAATATTATCCCACGCTAAGGTTCAAAATATGCCTTTTGAATTACCCTGGGATGTCTTCTTTAAGAAATGATATGCCTTTATGGTGTAATTGGATGATATAGCCTTGTAAAATACTATAAAATGGGACATGGACACAGCGTAAAAATTCAAAGTTTGGAAAAAACTGGAATGGCTGTGTCTCAAATGTGCCCCTTCAATGTCCACATATACCTGGCAAAGGTAGATACGGGCAGGGCCGGCCTTAGGCAATTAGGCGCCCTGTGCAAAAAGTCTTCACGGCGCCCCCCCCACCTCCCACCAAGTTGCCTGAATACAGTAACACACACAGGCACCGGGGACGTGTGTATCACGAGGCAAACAAGGCATCTGCCTTGGGCGCCACTTTGCAGGGGGCGGCAAAATAAAGCATCCCTCCAAACCCCCAGGCAGATCCCTTGCTTGCCTCGCATCCTGGGGGGCTCAAGAGCTGACCGGCTGGCCACTTTTGAGCCCCCCAAGGCTGGCAGCGGGCAGCGAAGGAGCATACTCACCTGAGCTCTTCCTGCTCAGCTTCCTCTGCGCCGCTTAATGAAGCCGGGAGCCAGAATATGACGTCAGTCCGGCTCCCGGCATCACTAAGCGCTGCTTACTCAGCCTGTGCACCCCCTGCCTGCCCGCCCAGCAGCCACACTGGACTGCTGGTAAGAAATCCACTCCAGCTTTCCCAGGGAGGCTGGGTGGATTTAAAATAAATGTAAAAAATATTAGTTTGTGAGTGTTAGTGGAAATGTCTGTGTGTGTGTCTGTGAGTGTTTATTTTGAAGTGAATGTGTGTGTGTGTGTGTCTGTAAGTGTGTAATTGTGTGTGTCTGTAAGTGTGTAATTGTGTGTGTCTGTAAGTGAATGTGTGTGTGTCTGTGAGTGAATGTGTGTGTTGGTCAGTGAGTGTGTATGTGTCAGTCAGTGAGTGTGTATGTGTCAGTCAGTGAGTGTGTGTGTCGTCAGTGAGTGTGTATGTGTCAGTCAGTGAGTGTGTATGTGTCGTCAGTGAGTGTGTATGTGTCGTCAGTGAGTGTGTGTCGGTCAGTGAGTGTGTGTCAGTCAGTGTGTATGTGTCGGTCAGTGGAGTCGTGCATCTTTCAGTGAGCGCTTGCGTCTGTCAGTGAGAGTGTGCATCTGTCAGTGTGTGTCCAAGTAATAGTGTATGTGTGTATGTCATTGTTTGTCAGTGTATATGAGAGTGTGTGTCTGTCAGTGAGTGTGCGTCTGTCAGTGAGTGAGCGTCTGTCAGTCAAAGTGCGGCCTTGACAGGAAGGGGTGGGGGAAATTTAAACTCGGTTACAGGCATGTACACACACAATCAGTTAAAGGCAGTCACACATACAGGCACAGGCACAAACAATGGCACAGCTACAGCGACACACACAGACAGACAGTCACATAGGCAGTCACACACACAGACAGACACACAGTAATACACACATAGACAGTTATACACACACAGGCAGGCAGTCACACAGATAGAAAGTCACACACACAGGCAGGCAGTCACACACAGACAGATAGTTACAGACAGACACACACAGGCAGGCAGTCAGTCACATACAGGCAGTCACACACACAGGCAGTCACACACACAGGCAGGCAGTCACACACAGAGACAGTCACACACAGAGACAGTCACACACACACACAGAGACAGACAGTCACACACACACACAAGGACAGGCAGTCACACAGACAGTCACACACACACACACACAGACAGTCACACGCACACAGGCAGGCAGTCACACAGACAGACAGTCACACACACACACACACAGACAGACAGTCACACAAACAGGCAAACAGTCAAACACACACACACTTACCTCTTTCCAGTGGATGCAGCTGGCTGATGGGGAAGCATCTTTCCCTCTTCCTGTACAGCAGGGGCTTCGGGAGGTATTAGCCCCGTCTCCGCCTCTCGATAAGCCCCGCCTCCGCCGCTCGGTAAACCCCGCCCCCTCTGCCGCGATTTTTTTTTTTTTTATTTTTTTTTATTTTTTAAATAGACCCGGGTGGAGAACAATTAATCCTCCAGCCAGGTACCTCTTTTAGCTCCCCTGCACTCCGGCCATGAGTGAGCTGTGTCGGCCGCAGGGCGCCCCCTGTTCCATGGCGCCCTGTGCGGTCGCACAGCTCGCACACCCCTAAGGCCGGCCCTGCATTACGGGTATTGCTACCAAATACATAGCTGAGCAACATATGAAGTAGTATACAGTCGTAGTACACATAAGGTTTGCAAAATATACTGCGCAAACTCACTTTGTGTGTCAAAAAGGCAGAAAAATGCTTATTACCACTACACTTGGTACAAGCTAGCGGAAAAATTATCCCACGCTAAGGTTCAAAATAGGCCTTTTGAATTACCCCGGGATGTCTTCTTTAAGAAATGGTATGCCTTTATGGTGTAATTGGATTATATAGCCTTTTAAAATACTCTAAAATGGGACATGGACACAGCGTAAAAATTCAAAGTTTGAAAAAAAATGGAATGGCTGTGTCTCAAATGTGCCCCTTCAATGTCCACATAAACCTGGCAAAGGTACATACGGGGGTATTGATGTACTCAGCCGACATAGCTGAGCAACATATGAAGTAGTATACAGTCGTAGTACACATAAGGTTTGCAAAATATACTGCGCAAACTCACTTTGTGTGTCAAAAAGGCAGAAAAAATGCTTATTACCACTACACTTGGTACAAGCTAGCGGAAAAATTATCCCACGCTAAGGTTCAAAATATGCCTTTTGAATTACCCCGGGATGTCTTCTTTAAGAAATGGTATGGCTTTATGGGGTATTTGGATTATATAGCCTGGTAAAATACTCTAAAATGGGACATGGGAACAGTGTAAAAATTTAAAGTTTGAAATGAACTGGAATGGCTGTGTCCCAAATGTGCCCCTCCGATGTCCACATATACCTGGCAAAGGTACATACGGGGGTATTGATGTACTCAGCCGACATAGCTGAGCAACATATGAAGTATTATACAGTCGTAGCACACATAAGATTTGCAAAATGTACTGCGCAAATTTACTTTGTGTGTCAAAAAGGCAAAAAAACGCTTATTACCATTACACTTGGTACAAGCTAGCGGAAAAATTATCCCACGCTAAGGTTCAAAATATGCCTTTTGAAATACCCTGGGATGTGTTCTTTAAGAAATGGTATGCCTTTATGTTGTAGTTGTAATATGTAGCCTGCTCAAGTGCTCCAAAGTGGGCACGGACGCATCAAAACCTTCCATGAAAATTCACACTTAAAAACCTTAACTTGTTACGTCTCTTTTATAGCAGTGTAACTTCACAAAATAGTGTCTAGGTCATACATTGGGCATATTGTTTTACTCAGAAGACTTAGCTGAGCATAATTTGGGGGGTTTGAACTTAGTGGCACATATGAAATGTACAAAATGCCCAGCAAAAATGTAATCCGTATGTAAAAAATGCCCAAAATTATTTTTTACCACATACTTTGGCATATATTGGTGAAAAAATGGGGGCATGTTAAGGCACAATATGCACCATATGAGATACCCTGGAGTGTCTACTTTTATAAATGGTAGGCCTTTGTGGTTTTTTTTTGAACAGTCAAACTGCTATAATACCCCAAATTGAAGCATAGGCCCATTAAATCCGCCTCTCAAAATTCTACTGTAAATGTTGAAACGGACAGGTCTCCTATATGGCACTGTAGCTTCACGAAATAGTGCCAAAGACATACAATGGGGGTATCGTTGTACTCAGCAGAAGTAACTGAACACAAAATAAAACTTTGTACAGGAATAGCACACACCAACTTTACAAAATATACATGGGAAGTTCTTTGTTATAAGTTTGTGTGCCAAAAACTCCAAAAAACTAAATTTTACTCCAATATTTAGCAGAGATTGGCGGTGAAATGGCTACTTAGAAAGTGTCAAAAAAACCTTAGGACAATAGCCTGTGATGTCTACTTTATATAAATATATACTTTTGTGTGGCAATTTTGTTTTCTTTTATGGCTATTAAGCTTACAAGACAAACATACAAAATTCTAAAATCGCTCTACATTAAAAGTTTATTTTACTCCTTGTGCTTTATGACCTGTAACTACCAAAAAAAACTTTAAATCCCAGACACATTATATATTTTGTAAATCAGAACAACTAAAT